GAGATAAAAATTGACATATTTGTTTGTCTTTCAACCTCTAATAATTCTTTCAGCTCTTTTGTTAATTTGTTCAACTTTGTCCTTATTTGTGGAGCTCTAGATACTTGCCAGATTTTTCTCAACATTCTTTTTTGTTCTATTTTATGTTTGATGTGATTCGGGACATGTATTACATTTTTGGTTTTAGTTATTGGTGTAGATGCAGATGCTGCAGATAATAGAAGAGTATTGATTTATTAACTATAACTAATTACAATTATATAACTAATTATTCTTCAATTAGCTCGCGATATGTATCCCAACACTTTTTATAATTATAAGTATTATTGTTCATATGAAGAGTTGTGCTATAAACTAGTACTATCGATGAGTAGTCAGAGGATAACTCAAGACTGGAATGAATGGAAAGGTTATTTACATTTATGTTTTTTGTTATAAAGAAGTCAATCAAATCAGGTTGCTTTCTTGGGTCACTAGGCCAGTAGGTTGGTTCACCAGTACTTATAAATTTTGCTTTATATTCACTCAGTACAGTGTAAAGATTTTTAACCTTTGCGTTTGTTAAACGTGATCTCCATAGTGAATTTTTTAAGTTGAAATCCCCACTGACTATAAATCTTTGACCAAGAGATTTGTAGAAATTTAAATACCTATCTTTGGTATTTGAGAACTTAGGAGGAAAATAAACAGCAGCCAATTTTAATAGACTATGAGAATCGTCAATTATTATTGTGGTCGCTTGTATTTGTTCTGTTCTATGATTTTCTGATTCAGAGTTAACTATACAGTTTTTTATGAAGATGGTAGTTCCACCGTGTCCTTTTCCGTCGGGATGGTCGATTTGAAATATTGTGTAATTATGTATTTTAACATAGCTTTTTTAAGTGAAATGCGTTTCTGAGGTTAACAGTATGTCGATCGAATTTGAATACAGAAAGTTTCCAATTCATTGACATATCTTTTTTAAATTTTGATATCTTTTTTGATATCAATTTTAAGATATTTCAGCTTTTCAAACTCTGACCACCAGGCTGGTTAAAGTTCAAAAATTGACTCTGGTATAGGCTCGTGTCATTCTACTTGACATTTCTATACTCGTTGCATAAAAAGTTACGGCTGTAAAAGGAAGTCGGCAATAAACCCATTAGGATGAAACACGGCCATTGTAATAGTAAAAGTTCTCTTTTTGTAGGTGGACATATTCCTTTAAAAACATCATTTGGTACACGATGGAATTTGGTATGATACTCGAATACATCTTGGTGCGTATTCCACTGCATTCCTAGGATTTTTTTTCTTGACGATGATGGTTCCATTCTCACAATATGGCTTGTTATAGCTATTTGATTGACATTCGAATTCATAGTCTGCTTAACATATTTTGAATTGGACACAAAATTGCTGAGCGCAAAAACCGCTTGGCGATTTATGTTGACAACTTGTTAGCATATTTTGATAGGGTCACACAAACTAAATCATCTACATAATGTTAATTGATAATTTATCGACTATTTCAGGATACTCGTCGTGGAAATGTTTGGATTTTTTGTTTTTGATATACTCCGCATAACATGGGGAAATACAACGCCAAAAATCATAGACATCATGACATAATGATGAACTTTAGAGTCATCGGCTTTGATGCGCCATATGAATCGGTGGCCATGTTAGTCTTTTGCTCGTATTTTTATTTAGGAGAACATCGCCTTTATATCTGCGGTTACTCCTATTTCACCTTGTCAAAACTTAAACAAGATATCAAGTAATGTCTTTGATTTTTCCGAACCTTTAAGTAGTTGTGAGTTGAGTAAAACTCCATTCGCTATAGCGGCAGCATCAAACACTATGCAGCTTATGCACGTTTTTACCAGCAAAATGTGGTAAGTTTCTTACAGGACATATACAATTTCGCACCTCATCATTCGTTAAAATGCTAGCATAACCCTTGGCAAAATAGTTATTCATATCTGTTCGATATCGCTGGGCAAATTGTGAACAGCTATTCATTTTTTTCTCCATATTTTTGAAACGGGTGCTCGCCTTCTCCAAACTGTCAGGTAGGCTTGACGCTGATGTCTTCTACCTGTCTCATAGCAACTGCCAATTTTACGCGTAGTGAGTTCTAGTATTTTTCTGGCTCTTCTGTTGTTCTCTGACTCAAGCAATTGTTGAGTATTGTGCACACCGAAATTTTCTATATCAAAATATTCGTCTATTAGGCGGTCTAAATTCTCATCACTGCCATGATTTCGTATGTGGATTAAAATTTATTTATATATAGTAGTAATATTATGTTCAATTACTAATACTCGTACCTGCAGTACCCGTTAAAATTGTGGTTAGGTTATCAAAATTGTAATTGAAATATAATATTTAAAATGAAAATTAAGAAAATAAAATAGATATTAATTCAAGAAAATATATACACACCATTTTCTTTTTTTTATATATTTTATCAATTTAGCACATTTTAAATAAAATAATATCTATAAATAAATAAAACACCACCGAAACTACACGTTTTACGAAAATAATGAAGAAAAACAAATCAAAGCAGCAGAATACCGAAATAAGAATCAAGAACCCCCATATTATTCGCCGTAAGATAAGCTCAAACAGAAGTTAAGTGCACATGCGGAGTACCGCACACAATATGATATAGAAAATCAATAAACCGCAAAGTAAACAAGAATAATGCGAGATCAGCTGTAAACAAAATTAAAGCGCTACACAAAAGCTCTGACTATTCTGTATATAAGACGCACATTTTCTTATGCAGGAGACTTGGCATAGAATCTCTAAGGCATATATATACAAGGATATTTCTACATAAAGAAATATCGATACTAATTATACATAAAAAACATTTTTCATTTAGAAAACACCTAAGTCAACCAAAGTCAACCTGAATTCGAATCAGTACGCAGCTTTAGATAATTTGGAAGAGATAACCAGCGTTCTTCAATCTACCCTTTGATTTATTCACTTATTTATGAAATTAATTAATTTATTAACTTATTTTATTTAATTATACTAAATAATAAAATACAAAAAAAATATATAAAACCTAAGCGTGTTTCTGAATATTTTGGTTATAAAAAAAATTTATTGTAACGATCCTGGTGAGGCTGAAGACACCCTAGCAAATCGAAACGAACCCAAGTAAGTGTCGTTACAGCAGGCATACGACCCTCACGATAGAACCAAGCCAATCGGAAGAATCTTCTCAATAGTTGAAAGTGATTTCAGAGATTTTGTTCTGTTGAAACTACTCATACTGCTTGCTCGGCGGTATCTCAGGAACCAATGCTTCCATAATAGTTATGTAACACAAATAATGGCCACAATTGGCAGCTTTTATCACTGAAACCGTGTTTCGAATTTTTGTCGAAAATTGTATAATTTTCTCTAATTTGGACTCTTCGAACGACGGTAGCTCTTGCAGTTTTACAAATTGGTCTTTCACAATCAAGTCTGATTTTCCAAATCGAAACTGAAGCTCTCCAATAGCACTAGGCACATTGGCTGGATATATTGTCATTGACACAACAGCTTCACGTAGTGCACCAACAAGGTATTTTTGCAGCCGCAACAAATTCCTGTTACTATAATTCCTAATACGATTGATGTAATCAAAATGGAATTTCAATGTTTGTCGGTAAACCAATCTTTATATGCACCATATAATTTGGGGTATTTTTTAGCAGACGAATTGTTTTCTTTATATAAAATGTCTGCAATCTTTCTACTACATCATATTTATCCACACCCCAGATTTGCGCTGCATAATTTAGAACTGATTTAACTGTGGCTTCAAAAACTTTGTATTTTACGGGCAGTGACACTTTCGGATTTCCCAAGACATTTTTCCAGGTACAATTAATAGCCAATTTAGCTTCCTTTAACTTCTCGTTCAAGTGATTATCAAATTTTGAGGTATATTTCATATTCTCATCGTTAAGCTACCATTTTTCGTCATTCCTCAATCTTCTACCATGTTTCTTAAATATCATCACTTTCGATTTGTCTGTGTTTGTAGATAGTCCCCATAAGTTGCAATATCTATTTAATTCATCTATTATATTTTGTAACATTAATGAAGAATCTGCAAACAGCACAGTATCATCAGCATATAAAAGTACTTTTAGGCACATGTTTGCAATCATAACACCACCAGGAAGAAATTTACTTAAGTCATCAACGAACAGTGCAAACAACATAGGGCTTAAGATACAACCCCGTCTCACTCCGGTACACGTTTGGAACCATCTCCAAGTACATCTTCCGTCCCATACTGTTGACTCATTGTTGCAGTACAGATTTTGCAGTATTTTCAAGATTTTTGTTGAAAGACCCAGCTGGCTAAGTTTGTAAAATAGTGTGTTTCTTTGTATTACATCGAAAGCATCTTTAAGATCGAAATGAAAAACATATAACTTCGTGTTTTTTGCAATAAATTCTTGCGCTACACTAGTGAGGACGAAAATATTATCTACCATGGAGTAATATTTTCGAAATCCAGCTTAAAATTCGCTTAATCTACCCAATTTTTAATTCTATTATACAGGAGGGTTGTTGTTGTTGTTGTAACCCGCCGAGACCTGAAAGCAGATAACATGAAAAGATTGCAAGACGAATACATGGGTAAAGGAGTGGATAGGTGGGATTGAGTACTGGGATGAGGGAAGGGGAGGGTGTGGGAATAATTTGAAACTAACCAGGATGCAGCCGAAGAAACCTAGCTACTTCAAGAGGACGGGTCCAAAGATCGATTGGACTTAAATTGGTGTGTGCATTGGAGCAAGAAAACAGATGGGCGACGTCATGGAGCGTCGAGCTGCAGTTTGGGCAAACATTAGCAATGGATGCGTTAGTACGTGACTGTTAAGCACACGGCTATATCCTGATCTCAATTGAGATAGGAAATGTCTTGCCACACGAGAAAGACTACATTCATCATAGGAGGGTTGTAAATACTTTAGCTGATGTATTAAGAAATATTATTCCTCTACAATTTGCCACATTAATTGACCTTTTTTAAATAGGGAAAATATTATGGGTTTTTTGAAACTATCAGGTGGGACTGCATTTTTAAATATATAATTGTATGATTCAACCATACGCTCTATAAACTGTGGCGTGGCATATTTTAAAAACTCAGCTGGAATTCGGTTTTCACCTGCGGCTTTGTTAGTTTTTAAATTCTGGAGCACTGCACAGACTTCTTTAATCTTTATTGGAGCATATAAAGCTTCGTTTATTACATACGGTAGGGCATAACTGAAAGAATGGTTTACTATATTACCATTTAACTGGTTTTCAAAATGAACCACCAAAGCTTCGGCGTTCACTTTAATTCCTTTTATGTAATCTGCACGATTTATTTTTTTAACTCCACTCCAAAATGATTTACTATCAGCTGCTTGGGATATCGACATTGCCTTTTCATTGAAATATGACTTCCTTTTCTCATCACACAGCTTTTTGTATTCTCTGTTTACATTTTTGTATTTCTCTAAATCAGCTATATCACCACCTTTTTTAACTGTTTTGAGCCATTTAAATGATTTCTTTCTTGCAGTTTCACATTCAAAATCATACCATTTTTGTTTCCTATTTATACCCGCCGAATTACCCTGAAACGATTTTGCTGCTTGTTTTACACAATATTGAAGAATGTCATCTCCTTCCTTCGACGCAAATGTACTACCTTCGCATGCATTAAGGGATTCTTCAAGCTTTTCTTGGTACAGATCTTTATATTTATCTTTCCATATCAGTTTCGGTAGCAACTGCATTTTATTTTCATTTGAATTAGAGGCATCTAGATTTACCATAATTTCCAGTGGCTGATGATCCGAGTATATCATGTCACCTATATGAAACTCTTCAGTTATTATTAACCATACTCCTTTCACAAAACAATAATCTATCGTTGACCTTGCTACACCTCTGATAAAAGTAAATGTACCCTCTCTGTCGCCTTTAATGCGGCCATTTAACACGGTGACACCAAATGAATTGCAAATTTCTAGTAATTGTTTGCCATTTCTATATACAACTGTATCTATTGCTACTCTGTGGTCCAATACTTCAGACCACTGCATACTCGGGCTAAATTCCAAATATTGTTCTTCGCCTATTTGTGCATTGAAGTCACCTGTTATCACGACATTATCGTTCTGAGCTTCCACTACTATATCACATAAGTTATTGAAATCATTTTTCCAGTTATTGCAATTTAGATAAATTGGGATTAAACATAATTTTTGATTATAAGTGGTTATCTCGATTATTGTTGAGTTTACATTGTGCTTGTACACCACAGTACCGCAAAACTGCAATTGCTTTCGTACACCATACAATTTTTCTCCACTGGCTCGACCTCTATTTGTTGTTCTTGTTGCAGGCATCCTATGAAGATTGTATTCTCTAAATGTGTTTTCAATATAATCTGTGTTATAATTGTTTTAATTCCTCCACAGCGTCACCTTCTTTGCACTTTAGTTTCTTATTTTTGTCGAAATGCATTCTTTTTCCTGATATGTTTATGTTGTCATCCAAGTCTTCGAATTTCCCTCCTGTCCACATCTCTATCGTTTCTTAATTTTTCAATCTCTAGTTTTAGCCTTTGGTTTTCATTTTCTAATTTTTCCATTTTCAGTGACACGTTGCCCACTTGTTCCTTCAATTCGCATATGTCACTCTTTGATGCTTGCGTAGCTATTTGCGAATCAAACTTACTACTTAGGCCTGCAATATTTGATTCAAATTTTTCTGCCATTTGTTGAATAGCCTGCATAACATCACCGAGCGAAAAATCTGGCGAAAGCTCAGATCGCATACGCTTTTCTTGCCTCTGTGCTTGCCTATTTGGTGTGCAAGGTCCGATTTACTTTTGACGTTTTCTGCATCTGTTGGTGGCGATCTTTCAACTGGCATTTTTTGTTTTTTTTGTATATATTTTATATATTTGTTTTGTTTAATATTATGATATTAACTTTTAGCACCACATTCGAACGCGTAGTAATTACAAGAACGTTTATTTATAATAATCAACCAATTGACATTTATTTCTCACGATACAAATTAAATTTTTCATTAAACTTTTTAGCGCGCGCACTTATTAGGTATAATTCATTAGGATTGTCAATTCAAACTTTCAAAACCTGTATAAAACCTGTATTGTTAAGTATATAAACCCCGTAATTGTTTTGCAGCTGTATACCGCGTGTCTTCTCTGTGGCTTTCGACAAAAAACTGGCGTCATCACACATGACAGCTTGTGGGCTTATTCACTGCAGGCAGTTTTGGTTAGTGCAAAATAGGTGCTCAATACAGGCAAATTCTCAACAAATGGTTTCCCTCACAGCACGTCTCACATATAAAATTGAAAAATCCTTTTAACTTTAAGAATTCTGTTTGGTTTCTTCGTAGATATTGAAGGGGCTTTTGTGAGCACATTATCTGGGTGTTGATGATGCGCTCACTGGCTTTATAAATCAGCTGACTGGCTTTAAAGTGACAGACTCATTGAAACGACGATGGGCTCTTGAAGGAGGAGTACTCTCCCCAATCCTCTGGAACATAGTGGTGAATGAAGTGCTAATAAAACTGATGATAGAGGGCTGCGAAACTATTGCTTATGCGGATGATATTGCGATAATAGTCACTAGAAAATAACAATCTTAACAATCTTAGAGATATTCTGCAAAACGGTGGTAATATCTTAAATAAATCCCAACAAAACCGAAATCGAAGGTTTCACCAGAAAGCATATGGTCCCTAATCATTCTTGCTAACCGGAAAGTATGCTATCTTTCAATCAAATTGTCTCAGCTGTGGGGAAGACGGAAAGAGTGCCTCTCATCTACTATGTTAAGTGCATAAAATTCAGCGGCTTCGTTGACTTGCTCACGTCGTGCGAAAAGAAAAAAGTGCTCCGGCTAGAAAGGTGTTTGATTCGGTATCCGCAGGTGAAAAATGTGGTAGAGGACGTCCGCATCTTTTGTGGAAGGACCAGGTGACCAATGATTTGGGGGAGCTACAAACTGGCGTCAGCAAGCAACTAATCAGAATGGCAGGCGGTGGCTACTCAACGCGGCCAAGGACGACTCACGTCTGTAATGGCCAAACAAGTAAGTGAGGTAATAGGCTAATTTGTGTGTGTGTGAGGAAGTTTTTTCTGGAGATTTTTTTTTTTTGCTCTCCAGAGGAAATAGTTCGTTTCAGAAGTAGGTGTCAAGTTTTAAGGTAATTTCCTATAGAGATGTTAGCTGTTTCTTTTAGCAAGTTTTTAATAAGTTTTGAGATTTTGTTAAGTTTTCATTTGTCATTATCTAATCTTGAAGATTGCCATCTTTTGTGTATTTCTCTTTTATAAGAGACAAAGTAGACTCAGGAATTTTATTGTCATTTGGGCGTTTGGTTACTTTTGGTGTCGCACGATCTGTTGGTAGCAGAATTATTTCGTTTAAGTGTGTAATATTACTATCTATTTCATTTCTATCTTTATGTTAAGTATTAGTTCATGACTAATGTACTCACGGAAAATATTCTAATTGGTTTTATTATTATATATTATATATATTATTCTCTAGCTGTAATTACAAAATAATTGAGTTGGGTAGGGGAATAATCCGATGATAGGTCAAAGATTGAAGTTATCGAGAAATTATCGTGATTTATATTTTTAATTTATATTAAAACTAAAAATAACTTAAAAATATAAGGATTAAAATTAATCCCACTTTATCCCTGACGACAGATGAAGTGGCAAATGGTCTATTCTTCAAAGATAAAGATGCAAATTTAAGTTACCTTATAGACACCGGGGCAGAAGTTTCAATACTACCAAAAAAGATGCAAGCCGTCAATACAACTCCCAAGCAGTACTGCCTATATACGGCGAACGGAACGAAAATTAACACATATGGAACAAAGTTAATGCAAGTCAATTTAAGGTTGCGTAGACAGTTCCAATGGGAGTTCCTAATTGCAGAAGTGAATTACCCAATAATTAGAGCAGATTTTCTTAATAACTTTAGTCTGATAGTGGATCTTAAAAATAAAAGAATTTGCGACGGCATCACAGGTCTCCAGATAGGGGGTACAAAGAAAAAGGCGCACTGCATGAATCAAATACTGTTGACGCAGCTAGCCCAGTACACAACATGCTAAAATACTATAAAGAAATAACGGAACCAACTACTTTAAATAAAAAAGCACGGCAAGTCACATTGATCCAGCATCAAATTGTCACAAGAGGACAACCAGTATTTGCGAAACTCCGGCGATAAAATAAAGAATTGGCGAAGAAGGAGGTCGAATTTATGATAAAACAAGGGATTTACAGACCAAGTGGCGGCAACTGGGCAGGCCTATTATATTTAGCAGCGAAAAAGGATGGTAAACGACGACCGTGTGGAGACTGCAGAAAACTCAATTCCATAACACTGCCAGACTGATTCCCCACATACACAACTTCACCCGCATATTACACAATAAAAAAATTGTTTCAACTATTAAACTAGAAAGAGCATACAACCAAATTCCAATCGCCGAATAATAATAATAATATGAATTTATATGAATTTAACGTAATGACTTTTGGTCTATGCAACGCCACACAAACGTTTCAAAAATTTTTGAATGACGTGTAAAAAAACCTAGATTACATAATAACATACATAGACGACATATGCGTGGCATCAGCTGATGAGGAAGAGCATGAGATGCGCTTAAAAGAGGTTAATAACAGGTAATAAGAAGTACGTAAATCTCCAGTTGTGTGGACAGCAGAAGCCGAAAAAGCTTTTAAAGTATATAAAAACGAACTAGCAAATGCTGCGATGTTAGCCCACCCGGCTCCAAACGTAAAATTAGTGCTAAATGTAGACGCTAGTAACATCGCAGTAGGATTAAATCTGCAACAGCTAGTAAACAAACAAATGCAACCATTGAGATTCTATTCTAAAAGGCTGACAGAGGTGCAGAAAAAAAATATAGTAGATATGAACGCAAGCTCCTTGCGACATATATGGTTATATATACAGTTAACTACTTCAGGTATATGATTGAAGGCAGGAACTGCACTATACTAACGGATCACAAATCAATCATGTTCGCTTTCCTACAAAGACCGAAGAAAGCGTCTGAACGTCAACTTCGTCATTAAGATTTCATCGGGGAGCTGACAATAGATATTCAGCACAAAACAGACAATCAAAAAAACAGTTGCAAACGCTTTATCCCAAATGGAAAGTGTGGTGACCGAATCAGACGACCACTTGACTACCGTAAATTGACAGAAGCGCAAAAAACTGATCAAGAGCTCAAAGAATTGTTGAAAAATCGTGCAGCGTCATCTCTGGAACTTAAGTTGGTGAATATGCTTCTAGATGATGTTTTATATACTGTGACGTATCCGGAAAGATAGCAAAACCAAAAGTCTTTTAGAAAAAAGAATATAATAATATTTTATTTATTTATTCAATAGTCGAAAACTATTATTTTTATAAAATTTTTTTCAGAGTCACTGTCACTTTGCAATAAGTTTATTATCCCTTTTTATGTTTTTCACTTAGAAAACACCGAAAGTTACGAAGTAATTTTTTTTTGTGCGCACACGATTTTGATTCAATATGATAATTTTGCGAATATTTGATAAACAAAATTTTCGCAAGCAATGTAACCGTAACCTGCAAGGTGTTCGCATGAGAAAACATATGTTAGGTACGAACACGGAATACAAAATCCACATGCTATGTAACCGCAGCCTAATGTGTGATATAAAATACAATACTCAAATCAATAGTGGAAGCATTGAGTTTAAAGATTAATATTCTTTAAACTCAATCGTTTTACTATTATAAAAAAATTATATTACTTAATAGCTGAAATTTTTTTTTTCAGAGGTATACAAAATCTGGAGACTTAATGTTTGGTTGAAATAAATTGGCATCACTTTTAAAAAAATGCTTATTTTTGACATATGTTCTTTGTTGTGTTGTGTGCAGTATGAAATATAAAAAATGTGAACACTTGAAATTAATTAATTAATGTAAATAAAAGAAAACAAAATGAATATTAGAACGGTAATGGTTATTATTTTTATCTAACATTTTTTTTAATTTATATATTTATGTATTTATATTTATTAGTTAATGAAATGCTTACAAGTTTTTAGTGGATGACTAAAACTTAAGATGTTAAAAGAGCATTATTGTTGCTTCCCATGTTTTCTCTCGTAAGCTGCAAATATTTTTTGCTGCTCTGAAAAAAAAATACTACTAATATGAGTTTTAAATAGCTTTCCGCAAATATAATTTATATGTATTATGTTAATATTATATTATTAATATTCTATCAAACGTAAAAAAAATAATTAGCTATAAATATTTCGTGCGTAATAGCATTAACTCAAATCACAATAACAACAAAATAAATAATTCAAGTTATTTAATTAATTAATTCAATTCATTCTATAAATGAGAATATTGATACGTTTAAAAACGTCACGAACTATAATTTACATATTAAGGCAACAATTTTTTTTATAATTGGAATAAATGAGATTCATTTTAATTAACTGTAAATAGGCTATAGGACATAAACTCCATGTATCAATAAAAATTTGTTATAATGAAACTTTCCTCTTACGAAGTTTCTATTCTTGGTAATTGTTCTTTGTAATAAAGAATCCGAACGCAGCAAAGTAAATGTCAAACTGGTAACACTCATAATTTAAGAAAATATGTCATCGCCTCGCTCTTTTACTTCCGCCATTGTTCGCGATAGTTTGTTAAATTATGGGTAAGCAGAGTTTTTACAAACTAGTTAATAAAATTAGTGGATAAATAATGTAAAACATTATTATTTGGTACATGAAACTATATAATGATGTTTTCGCGAAGTTATTACGTTCCGTTACAGTGTTCGAAAAATTTGTAGTAACTGCGTGTATAAAGTAAAATTAATCTTATAATATCTGTGTAATCTTTCTTTATAAATTGTTTAGTTTGTATTAATTTTTGTTTTCAAAATATCATGGTTGTAGCGGTTTTAATAGTTAGGCTATTTTGTTATTTTTTCATAAAGGTAAGCCAAGAGGTTTGAGAACAGCTAGAAAACATGTTAATCATCGACGTGACCAACGTTGGGCTGACAAGGATTACAAAAAGGCTCATTTAGGTACAAGATGGAAGGCCAATCCTTTCGGCGGAGCTTCACATGCAAAGGGAATCGTTCTTGAAAAAGTGTAAGACATTTTTTTTTTTTTTGAATTAATTTAAAAACTGATCTATGGTTCGCAGTATATTTTTGTGCTTTTGTTGTTTTGAATTCAAATCACAGGATTATACTGTGAGTCGTGGTTTGGCAGATGCAACAGTTAAAAATTTATTGAGAGTTGTAAATTGTAAATTTTATATTAATGTGTATTTTCCTTCATAGAGGCGTTGAAGCTAAACAGCCAAATTCAGCTATTCGCAAGTGTGTCCGCGTTCAATTGATCAAAAACGGAAAAAAAATTACAGCTTTCGTCCCTCGTGATGGTAGTTTAAACTACATAGAAGAAAATGACGAAGTCTTAGTTGCCGGTTTCGGTCGTAAGGGTCATGCTGTTGGTGACATTCCCGGTGTTCGATTCAAAGTTGTTAAAGTAGCTAACGTATCGCTTTTGGCGCTGTACAAGGAAAAGAAGGAACGCCCAAGATCTTAAACCATCTGATTTCTTGTGCTTCACAATAATGTAACAATAAAAACGTTATAAAAAATTATTACGTGAACTTTACTTGAATGCGAATACTGGATTAAACACATTTACTTGACATCAGTGTAGGGTGTGATAAGTATTTATATTTTTCAAAATAATATGTTAATTAAAACTTATCTATAAACATAAATGTAATAGAAAATGTTTTTGGGTTAAGTGTTAAACAAACGCGCTGATAATTGATAAAAACGTATACATCAGGTTCCAAAAAATATATTAAATTTAGTTATGAAGGTCTAGAGTTTGGAATTTGTTATTATTTTCTTGGAACCAAATCTGAGTTTATCTTTTCAATTCAGATTTTTTATGCTATATTTTAAGCACGGGCATTTATATATATGCAATGTATAGATTTTAAGAAGATTTTTGTGATTAGGGATCCCGTGAATTATGCGGTATTTTTGTGGCAGAGTGTGTGGTGGTGTATTAACTTTAAATATTTTGTTTTTAAGATTCGGTTGGACCACAGCTTGTTTTAAGGAAATATTCGTGTAAATTAATTAAAAAGATTAAGGTTTAAATGACATTCATTAAAATGCGTATATTTTAAGTAGTTAAATCCGTTCGCGCATAATGTATCTATGTAGCTGATGCAATAATTTACAGCATCAACCAGCATACAATACATGAAAGGTAACCATTACTTCGATAAGGTTTAAATTTATTTGGGTGTTTGTTTATGAAGTAGATTTTTGTCGATTAATAATTAAAAAAATTACATTATGTTGCAGTGGGTTACAAACCATTTCGGCAGTACAAACTTGTAATTAGTGTATGTATTTACGGACTCCACATAATTAAGCCGATTTCCGTCATAATTTCAATGTGGAAGTTTGAATAAAAATCTCAAGAAATTTTTGTTTGCACTTCTTCAGTTCGTAAATGAAGTAAATTAAAATAGTGACTAGTGTGGCATTAAAGCTTGTCTAAAAGCTCTGATTAAGTTAGTACATGAATGAGAAAACTGGATATGTGGACATTTCACATACACTTTAAAGTGAAAAAAAAAAAGAAAAACTGACAGCAGAGTTTAACAATTTTACTTCAGTTCTATTTGTTTTACTAGGAGACAAATCACTACATATTTTATAAAGACTACATTTTTGTAACGAAATCGTCATCAGTTAATGATGCCATATGCATATTTATTCACCCCTATTCTGAATCAGATGGGAATAGGAGTTTATCCTTTTTTTTCAGTTCCCCTATTCGGAATCATATGGGAATGGGGGCTTTGCTCCCTATTCCCAATTCACTTATTCTGAATCAAATGGGAATGCGAGTTTTTTCTATATTTTGCAAAATCTTTCCCAATCGAATTTTGCGGGAGATTAAGTTAAAAGAGTATAGTTTAATATGTAAGTAACTTATAATGATCAGATTTTTGAATAAATATTAAAAAAATCATAATAAATTTAATATATTTAAATTTTTATTTTATAGATATTTTAAAACTTATAAAAATTATTATTATAATAAAAGTATTATACCAAATTAAATATATATACTGGCAGTTGCAGTCCAAACAAATTATATACGAACTATAAACTAATAAAAATTCGATTATTTCCTAAGACCACTGATGATGAGTACTTGGCAATACTCGAAACAGCGTTGTAAGATCAGCTAAATTTCAATAAATTAAATAAATTTTTGCCCTTGTACTTACTTTGCTGTTTGAATCCGTCTAACTTTTAATTAGTTTTCGTCATAAAGACGTGTCACTCTAGGCAAGAAAAAATTAACATTAATATATGTACATTTTTATTTATATATTTTAACTACATGGGTTTTTTCCACCAATTAAAGCATTAACTATTGTTATTTAAAACAATAGATAATAAAAGAGACTCAAATTCTGAATGAATGGGGATTCCTTCAATAAGTTTAATATAATTTTTTGTAATTATGCGCAAATGAAACTGCTTCCTTCTCTATTGTAACATCTGTGCAATTATAAACTATTATTACAGTTTATTAATTGAAACGCGTTTCTATCCTAATTATAAAAATAAATACGACTTTTGGAGAGGAACTCTAACTGCAGTTAAAACATTAGTAATTCCAATTATTAAATAAGATATTTTATTTTGTTTTATTGTATATAAGTAAAAAATAGATTATGTACATTTAAAAATTGAAATAAATAATTAAAATAAGTTTTTTATTATTTACTTATAAAATATTCAGTATCATATGTAATTCTTTTCTTTGTTTTGCACATTTCCACACTTTTTGCCATTATAAAATGCAAATGCTGCCAAGGTTCAACAAAAAATATTTGAAATGTTTGTTGTTTCCAAAACAGCTGTCCCCCAAAAAATTCATAAGTTCTATTCGAGGGAATAGCGATTCAAGAGAGAGACTTATTCGCTAGGAGTATTCAGAATAGAGGTGATTATATTATCTATATATTCAAAAAAAAAAAAAACACGAATTTAAGCATATATCAGTTAATACAATTTTTTATTATTAATTGCATTATACAATAAGTCAATTGATAATTTTTGTACAAGAATGTTTGTTTAAGTTAATAATAGATGTGTTTTATGTTTCTCGCATGTAAACTATTTTAGTAACTAAAAACAGAACATATTTTATTAACAAATAAAAATAAACCTCAAAGTTCCTGTATAGCAATGAAGAGCGAAAAACAGTTTATTTTTTAAACGAAACTTAATTTACCGCATAAGAAAATAATTCAAAATTGAAAGAATCAGATTTTACTATCTAGATATTAATTAAAAATAAAGTACTTAATACCATAATTGATACCATCTATCAAGGAAGATAAAGAAAAGAAACGAAACAGTACAAAAACAAAAGGCTTAATGTTATACAATGATGCGTGAGGACTTTTACCACTCGGTCATGCTATTTTGCCCACCCGGTCCTCTGCTCACCACGATATTTGCTAAAATAAAAGCAGTTTCTGAGGCTAGTGCCAAGTTAGCAATGCGTGAGGACTTTTACCACTCAGTCATGCTATTTTGCCCACCCGGTCCTCTGCTCACCACGATATTTGCTAAAATTAAAGCAGTTTCTGAGGCTAGTGCCAAGTTAGCAATATTGCTAGAAAACACAAGGCTGTATTTATAAAAGTTATTAACAAAAATTATATTTAAAACATACTCATAAATTCCTGAAGTTAAATATACTAAAAAATACTTAATTAATTGTTGCACGGTATTTTTTTGAAAAATATATATATTCTAGAATATTTTGGTATATAAATTATAAAAAATGAACGCTACGATTTTGCAAAATTAAGTAATTTTTGTTAATAACTCTTTTGTTTATTACTCGATTTTAATCATTTTTGCATCAATTCATTTTTTCAATTCTTAATTTTGTTTTAATACACAGTCAAACTTCTATAACTCTAACTAAAAACAATGCACCAAGGTTTTAGAGAACAAATTACATACAATTCAGCTTCCATAACTTGAACTTCTATAACTCGAACAAAAATTTTGTTCCATGCCGATAGTAATGTGGGAAAGTGCATTCCATAAGTCGAAACTTCTGTTTCAAGTATAAATGCATTTTGCTGTTAGGAAAAGTAACTTTTTCCAAAACAAATGTTTAATTTTTTCTTTCTTAAGTTATTTCTTTGTGCAAATGCCAGTCACTGGCAGCGTGGTTTAAAGTAAATAAAATAACTTCCAATGCTTCTCTTAACGATTATATTGAGTTTGACAATGAAATTTGTACATCAAGTTTTCCTACAGATGACGATATTATGGAGCATTCTAGCTCTGAATTAGTGGATCCGATTCTAAGCGGAACGGAAAGTAATGATAAGGGTTCGATGGGTGTTTGTTATTGTTCATCAACCTTCTAAGAATGAAGTAGAAAACTCATTCAAAATTCTGAATTTTTATTTACAAACGAATGATACTACAACTCATGATCACTATAAAACTTTAAATAAATTGGAATATTTTTTTATTAAATTTAAATAACCGTTTATCGCCATTACGATCCTAAATTCTCACTTTTTTGGGAACAAATGTTTCACGATTATCGCCATTATTTTAGGACAAGAAGAGACTGAGTCTCTTAACATCTCAAATTTACACATTTCTATTTTGTAGCTATCGCCTTCGATATTTTGGTCATGGAAGTCCTTGGCGTCACATAATTGGAAGTAATTACGATGATCTGTACTTTGTTTTGATCGGCACACTAAAATAACATTCAAATTTTGATCAATTTTATAATCACTTTCGCAATCAGAATCCCAAACCTACTCCATTAAATAGTTCTCAAAATTATCAAAATTACAAAAATAAATTTAATTTAGCTTTGAATTCAAACATTTTTAAATTTTACGAATGTCAGCAGATTTTTAAATAACCCTTAAGTGCTCGTTGTTGACCACTTAAATCTCACTTAAAATTCAATGGTAAAACTACAAATGTCAAATCGGTCCCTAAGTGTACAGCTGGCACACAATTGTGCAAGGAGTTGTTTTAACCACGATTAAACGAGATTACAGGAGAGTCGTATGCAAATGCTCATACAGCTTACTAATGAAGGTTAGCAGCGAAAATGGGCAATAGCTTTGTAGTAGAGATTTGGGCTTATCGTTTTGCGGTAACAAAATACAATAAGATTATACAATCAAGGTAAACACAACTGTCATGGCAACCCTGTAAAATGAAATAACAATACACAATAAAAACATGACAGTCAGTTTAAAACATAACCTCGGTGTGCGGTAGATGTGACATGGTGCCGAAACCCGTGTGCATGAAAAATAAGTAATTACAAATTTTTAATAAACTAATTAAGTGACGAAACATTTGCTAAAAAAGCAACGCGTCAGTAAATTATTTTAAATAAATAAACCAATAAACTAATTAGGTGACAAAAGATTTGCTAAGAAAGCAATGCGTCGGTAAAAAAACCACACACACACACAAAAAAGGGAAGAAGAAACAAAATGCTAAAGCCACCAAAGCCGCTGTTAATAAACAATGAACTTGACATGGCGCGAGA